AGCCGCGGCGCCGCCGGGTACGAGCGCCACGGCGTGCCACAACGGGACAGGAATAGGGCAAGGGATGCCGGCACCTCGTTTGCATTTCAGTGTTTCTATTTAAAGGCTAGAAAACTTTCAGGAACTTTTCTGATGCGAAACACGTGAAAGGAGGATTCCAGAGAGACCGAGCACCAGAGAAAGCAAAGGTCGGCCAAGCAAGGCCATGCAGGTTGGCAGGGGCACACAAACCCCTAGAGAGCTGTGACAGGCACAAAACCAGGTGGTTTCTGGACCGAATCCACCATCATCCACCTCCACAAGGTGTCTGCTGTTTCCTTCCCCACACCACAGAGCTGGCTCTTGGCACCACTAGTTATCTATCGGTCACTTAACCCGTCTGCTGGAAGAATCTGCCTCCCCACATACCTCTAGTGCCTATTTCTTCTGTTTAGTAGCAACTGATTCTTTCTAAGTAGTTAAATTAATTTAAATTGCTACATGACTTATTTGTCTTGCCCAGCTTTTTGATCCTAATTAGTTAACTGATCTATTGATTTCCTATTGATTAATTTGTTCTTTAGCCAATTTGCTGTTTAGCAAGTGTCTTGTTCATACAGCCCTACCCTCCTGGAACATTTATTGACCGTATCAAAACGCATTCCTTCTCTCCGGCTATCGCAGCCAATGCCCTGTAATCTAAACACGCTCCCCTTTCCCATCACAATCTTACTCCATTCCACCAATGTGCTATCTCCTTTCTCTTCCTCCCTGCAGACTCGTTAGTGCCAATAACAGCAAACGCAGCCAAAAGCAGAGTGCTCTCCATGACAGCGAGAAGCCAGCCGAGCAGAACTGTGAACAAGGGCTGGGAGGAACGAGGTACTCTGGTTCTTGGTCAGCTCTGCAGGAAGGAGTTGTGTCCTACAGAACGGCGTTGGCACTCCCCCCGCATGCTCTTCAGCCCTTATTTTTGCAAGATGCGACTGCTTTCCCCGGGGCAAATTGATGCCTTGCGTAAGACCGCAGGAAAACATGCCATTAAAGGAAGCAATACTGATGAACCAGCGAAGGTCTAAGAAAATAGGCAAGGCAATGTTAAAGAATTTCTTTATTTAAAACAGCTACCAAGCTTATGGACCTACAAGCCTATCCTCACATCTGAGGATCCCAAATTTCTCCCCCTCCTGCCGGTATCAATCTATTAA